GGAAAGGGGAAAAATGTGCTGGAGTTGGAACCTACATGCAAGGGGAAGTTTTCATCAAACGATCAAGGTAGGGAACATCGAGGAGAAGGAACGTTCACTATACCTTCCTAGGCTGAAACAGCTCGGCTGAACAGTGAGTAAATGGATTCCTTGTTGCTACTTATTCTCAACAGTCCACGGTCTCAAAGTGAAGGGAGTGAGGGTAGCATAAAATTTTTGTTCTTTCTTTAGAGTATCTCAAATCTTCTCTCGGTCATGAGGAAACAAAGGAAGGTCATGATTTTTCCTTGGATGCTACTAGTCACTAGGGTTCTGATTTGTATAAAAGGAAGAGGAGAGGATGAAGTGGTGGAACTAGGTTCACACTTAACAAAGAGATTCTTGGGTCTAAGGTCCTGGTCATTCAGCGCTTGAAGATAAAGAAATGAGGCATATAAGACTGATTTAAAACCATCACAGGATCAGAAAAATAATCTTAAGGTATTCCTCCCTTGGAGCGCACAAGGGGTGTAAGATGGTGTGGCATTTTTGTCCAATGAAACTACATGCAATGCTGGCCACTTTCAACAATTTGCTGCATGTAGTAAGGCTGAGCTTATTTGGATAGTCCAACAAGCAACTAAGTTGCTTTTTTGGTGTACCCTATGCGTAGAAAAGAAAGGTGACAAGAGAGAGAAGTGTTGTGTCATAACAATTAGCTTTAGTCAGAATTTTCTGGTCACAAGTCTACATCCTCTGCGCACATAGAAGAAAGATACAAGGTGGCTTAAGTGTGTTGCCATGTGGGGATTTCATCCCAATGATAAGTTGACACGTACGATTCTTATAGTATGGTGAGGATAGGAAATATTTTGGGCTGAACCCAATTGCTCCCCAAGAGCCTTGGGCCTTCGGCCAAGCCATGAAATTGAGGTTCAAAAATCTAACCCAATGATTCTACTTTTACATGTACTTATCCATTCTATAGTTAGTTCTCCTGTCATCTAGTTATCCTTAGACGTTCTAGGTGTTACATTTAATTTGCTCCTATACTTTCTAATTAAGGTTTCATATGTCTAAAATAATTCCTTACTTATTACTAATATTCAATAATTTCCTAACTTAATATTAATTCCCCATTAGTAGCCATGAGATTCGAACTTAGCATAATCATCAGTATTAGTTTTCCTAATTTCGAGGGATGTTACAGCTACCCCTTGTGATATCTCTTCCATAGACTCCTACGAGAATACTAATCCCACATATAATTACCAACCACTGGTTGAACATTCCCAATCCGAGAATATATATATATATATACAGGGGTGGCAATTTGTGACCCGACCCGACCCAAACCCGACACAAAATTTTTGTGTTCGGGTCAACCCGTTTAATAAATGGGTCGTGTTCGGGTTAGGAAAAAAGTGACATGAAAAAATTGTGTCCGGTTATGGGTCAACCCGTGAACCCACTTTGACCTGTAAATAAGGTTATTATAGTCATTTTATTCCATGGTATAAAATGAAAAAAAAAACTTAGGGTTTCAATTTAACACCCCTCTAGCCCAGCTCTCTCCCTTCTCTCTCTCAAATGTGATTTTCTTCTCTGTGGTGTGTTAGCGACACGGCAAGTGCACCGATCGTGAAAGTAATAAAGTGTACCGGAGTACGAGATCGTTCCCACGAGGATCAGAATTTTCAAGCACTAGTTCACTAATTGCGTTTTAGTTGGACAGTCAAAGGTTTGGTTTGAGAGAATGGTGAATTTAGATGAAGAGAATTGTTGTTCAAGACTTAAAATTAAAAACAAGTAAAGGCATGCAATATGAAAATTCAGAATTAAAAGAATGAATGAGATGATGTTTGATTAAGATTTAAAAAGCGTAGTTAAGGTTTCGACTTCCCGCAATATCCTCAATATGTTATGAATTAAATGATCAAGAATCCGTTTCTTAATATATTGCCAATCAATTCTATCTGAGTTAATTACGGCTCAATTCCTTGTTACCATAAATCTATGTAATCTTGAAAGAACTCTAGTTCCCCGATTATTCCCCCAAGAAAACATGCATTAAGATCAAGAATTTCAAGATTGCATAATTACCCTATGTCTATTCCTATTCCTAGATCACAAGGATTATGATAAATTATCAAGACAAGGTTCATGCACCAACATCCCTATTGTCATACAATTCTCCAAAATCATTCTATAAGGAACAAACTCATAGAAAGCATTAAAAACAGATAATTTATTCAATTATAAAAAGAACAGGATTCGGAGACAATTTAATTCATAAACATAAAGATTCAATTGGGTTCCATCTACCCTTAACTACATAAAAGACTACTCTAGCATACTGAATTGAAAAGAAATAATAAAGAAAAGAGAACCCCAAGCCTCCATTGATGTAATGTTGACTTGGTTTCTCAGTGTTCCAGTGCTCCGCAACAGGATTCCTCCTTCAGTCTTGGTGTAATGCTCTGGAATTGTGTGAATTTCTGAATTGGTGAATGGGAATTGTGTATTGGTCTTGACCCCAAGCTCCTTATTTATAACCACAGGAGTTGTATCCATCATTTAATCTTCCAATGAATCCATACAAGATTTGTATTTGATTTCATCTTTGTTTCCTTTTTCATGTAAAATCTTGGAGATTTGGTTGATGAATTAGAGTTTTTAATCTTCGTTGTATCTTGCTTCAATCTTCTCAGGAATCGTCTTGATTTGTTTCCGTTTTAGTTCCATATCCTATCTGAACAAATCTTCTTTAAATCTTCATGGAATCTGTTGCGTATCTTGATCAAATTTTCCTTTGAACCTTCAGCAATTCTTTGGTAAATCTTCTCGCTGTCAAATAACTGATTGTTGTCTGCCTTAGCACGTTTTGGCGTGCTGTAACGTGCTCTTCGAATTGTTTTTGTGGCTTCAAGGGCGTTTTGGCGTGCTGTTTGCGCCAAAACTCTCTCCTCCAGGGAGCAATGGTATTTTTCTTTCTTTTGTGCGTTTAAACGCGCTTCATGGACGCTAAAACATCCTCCTTCAGCTGGTATACACTTGGAATCTTGCTTGCTTGTGCTTCAACTTAACATGATGTCTTCCTTTGGTTCCAAAATGCCATAATTGGTGTCAAAAACCCTTGTAAATCAGCATTACGACAACATGTTAGCAAGATATTCAATTAATGTAACTTTACATTATAAAACCCTAATTTCCATGCAATTCACAACATATATCAATCATATTTAAGCCTAAAAACATGGTAAACTAAGGGTTTATCAACCATTCCCAGATTTGAACATTGATGTCCTCAGCAATGCACTAGAATAAACTTAGTGGAATCAATCAAGATTTTTAATTGCATGGAATTCATAAGCAGAATTTAATCAGAGAATTGACTACAGAGCATTCAGACTTAAGGAAAGGATGAAACATCAAAACAATAAGATCAATAATTCATCAGTAAAAACTTTTAATGAAATTCCTTAAGATCAAGAACAGGGGAAACTTCCTGAGACACTCCCTCACTAGGAGTTTTAATTCACTCTTGCTCAACCGTCTAGAGGGTTGGTGTTTCTCTCTTATTCCACTGAATCAACACTACCATAGGCTTGCTTATATTCTCGCTCTCCACAGTTCGTATGATAAATTAAGCAGATCAAGAGGTCTTTCGTAAGGTTATAATGTGGCCTGGTGAAAGGGAGGGAAAGAATTTAGGACAAAAGTTTAACATCAATTCAGATTAAGGAATGGAACAAGTGTTGTGCGTTTCTTCCGGCTGTAAAGCTTTCTTCTTTCCAGTTCTTTATTTTCTTCATTTGAACTTTCTCTTTCTAAGCGTATTTTCTTGCTTTTCGCTTCTTTTCCTTTCTTTGTTTGGAGCATTTTGCTCGCTTTTCTTAAGTCTAACCAACTTTCCTTTTTCTTTCTTCTTTGGGCTTTGCCCTTTTGCTTGTACTTCTTTATTCCGTTGAACGCCTGCATAGTTGAAACTCATATCCACTCCTTACTTGAAATCTGAAATTAATCTGCTATTAAGGTGAGGATTCAATTGGGGAAGTGGCTATTCATATTCAAGGGTTCTTCATGAATAAAAAGTTTAGGCTCAAGGGGGCTTTACTAAGGAATATCATAAAGGTTAGCTTTTTGGCCATCTAGTTAAAGAAAGAACATGCATCTATCATCTTTACAGAATAAATCACAGACCATTTCAATCAAGAAACAAAGCAAGTTCTAGAGTATCTCAACAGTGGAATGCACACTCAATAAAATTTTCTGTATAGGCTCAAAACCTTACGGCTATGAATGCACAGTAATTTCCATGTTCTAGTTCTCAAAAACTTTAATATCAAACAATATATTCAATGAATTGTGTCACTTCTTGCAATGATGTTCATAAAAGTGAATATGTATAAGTGCATCATCATGCTCTGAATCAATTTCTAATTTAAACTTCCCGCCATTTTTCCTATTAAACACTGAGAAACTTTGAAAAATTTGGAAAAATTTTACAAAAAATTTTGGCTTGGGGTTTTCCAACAAAACAATTAAAATTATCTAACTAAAACATGAAAAACAAAATTTTAAAAATTGCATGAAAAACATAAAAATAAGAATTAAAAATTGTATGAAAAAGGGATTTGAGATATTTCCCTGTCTTGACCGGAGATTCTGTGTGTGCTCATGAAGTTCCTCCGGCTTACTCAATTGTGCTCAGATGAATTGCGCGTTCCCCATTCCTAGATTTAAATGTTGTTGTCCTCAGCAACAGATTTAAATCTACAAAGAAATCGCATCGAGAATTAAGAAACAACTAGTTGCTCTCTTGTTGTTAGTTCCCTTTTCTTCACCTGTAAAATTCACTCAACGATAGCCCTTAGTATCAACATCTTCTCCTATATTTTTGTATTTTTCTTAATTGAACAAAAAAGGAAAATTTAATCAAAACTAAAAATAGTAAAATGGTGGGTTGCCTCCCCCTAGCGCTTGTTTTACGTCACGAGCCTGACGTACCTGACTTGTGATCATGGTGGCTCAAAGTATGATCTTGGTGATAACCAAGCTCCATCATTCATAAATTGTGTCCTACCGTAGTGTTCTTCTGCATATGGATGAGGTAAAGTAGTCTCAGGAACTTTGAACTTGACTTTTACATGCTTTCCTTCGCTACTAGGTTTCTCCATCTTAACTTTTGGCTTACTTTCTCGAGAAGACTCCTCATTGTGTTCTTCTTCACCTTTCTTTTCAACAATAAAGTAGACTTGATCTTTCGGTTGAGCTACAGATGAGGGGACTTCTTTGTCAATGAACTTGAAAGTTGCTTGCTCTCCGTCTACCCGTAATATCAACTCGCCTTTTAGTACATCAATCAGTGCTCCTGAAGTTGACAAGAAGGGTCTTCCAAAAATCATAGGAATTGTGGCATCTTCTTCAATGTCAAGGATGACAAAATCAACAGGAATGATGAACTTGTCAACCTTAACCAATATATCTTCAATGATGTCGTAAGCTTGCTTTGAAGAACGCTCAGCCAGTTGCACTATCGTCTTTATGGGCTTCACTTCGGTTATCCCCAGCTTCTTCATCATGGAGAGTGGCATGACATTGATGCTAGCTCCAAGATCACATAAAACATTGTCTACTTCCATCTTGCCTATAATGCATGGAATGCTGAAGCTCCCTGGATCCTTGACTTTGGTAGGTAACTTCTTTTGGATGATAGCATTACATTCCTCCGTCAGAATCACCGTCTCACATTCCTGCAACTTACGCTTCCTTGACAATAGATCCTTCATAAACCTTGCATAGTTGGTCATGTTCTCTAAAGCTTCAGCAAAAGGAATGTTGACTTGCAGCTTCTTGAAGATGTCCAGAAATTTGGTGTATTGTTGTTTCTGGACCTCTTGTTTCAACCGCTGAGGGTATGGAACTTTTGCAAATGGAGACAAGTCTGCCGCTTTTGGTTGCCTATCCAGAGCTTTCTTTTTCTCCCATTTGAACAGCTTCTTCTTTGGAATGCATTTTTCAGCTTCTACTGCATCTTCTTCTTTATCTTTCTCAACTTCAGGTTCAGCTTCTTTCTTCTTTTCAACTGGTGGCTTTTCCACAGGTTGAATCACTGTCCCACTCCTAGTGGTGATAGCATTGCAATGCTCCCTTAGATTGACAACTGTGTTGCTTGGAAAAGTGCCCTAAGTTCTTTTAGTGAATTGTCTTGACAGCTGACCAATTTGAGTCTCCAAGTTCCGGATCGAAGCTTCTTGATTCCGGAATGAAGCTCTTGTTTCATCTCTGAAGGCATCTGCATTTTGAATGAAGTCGGATGTGGTCTTGGACAACTGTGCAAACGCCTTTTCCCACTCGGATGTGGTACCTTGAGGTTGTTGTTGCAATGGCATAGGAGGATTCAGCTGGTAGTTTGACTTATAACTCAACCCAGGGTGTTGGTTGTTATTCTTCCACCCTTGGTTACCATATCGATTCCTTCCTTGGTTGTTCGAGTTCTTTTGATCATACCAGAGTGCATTGGCCTCTGCTGGTTGCTTTTCTGTGTTTCTGATGTATTCACAATCCTCAGTTGCATGAGCCTCCTGACAAATATCACATTTAATGTTAGGGTTAGAAACAGAAGAAACTTGAGAAATATTAAATTTCTTATTAAGAGCATCTAATTGTTCTTGTTGTTTCTTGTGCATTTGTAGCATTTGTTCATTTTGGGCTAATATTGCATCATAGCCTTCAAGCTTCATGATTCTTGAACTTCTGGGTGCAACTGGAGTAGGAGCATTGTCAAATTCTTGAGATGCTACTAATTCCAATAGTTCAAGTGCTTCCTCAGGAGTTTTTGTTTTTAATGAGCCTCCTGAAGCGACATTTACCAATGTTCTTGTGTTGGCTGGCATCCCTTAGAAAAAGATTCTTGCCTTCTCCTATGCTTCAATTTCGTGTTGAGGATACTTCCGGAGTAATCCTTTGAATCGTGTCCAAGCCTCGTACAAAGATTTGCTTTCTTTTTGTTCAAAAGCATTGATCTCCGCATTGAGCCTTGCCATATTTGAAGCTGAGAAAAATATAGCCAAGAATTTTCTTGCTAAGTCATCCCAATTGGTTATGCTTCCTTCAGGTAGAGACTGCAACCAATCTTTTGATTCATCCTTCAGTGAGCATGGAAATAGTCTGAGCAAAATAGCATCACGAGAAACTCCGTGTACTTTTAATGTATCACAGTACCTAATTGACCAAGGGTGGCACACAAGGTTCAACATACCTTGTGTTCTCTTACAACTCACAATAAACATTTACTCAAATCACAAGTATCATACACCACTTAATCGGTATACAATTTGTTAAACATTTCAATCACATAATCTCATTTACATGCATTTCTCATAATTGAATAACATCATTACCTAAAATAAGCCTATTGTCCTTCCATCACATTCATTAGTAAATTGATTACACAAGATCCTCATTATATCAATTACATTTAAATTCACTAACAAATATAACTATTATACCATGATGCCCAAAATAATAATAAATGCATCATCACTAGACTTAGCCTCAAAATACTACATGAACAAACCCTAGGCATGGTACATATCACTCATGCAAGGCTACATGTTCATGCACTAAGTCTAGCGTACCATATGAAATCTCAAAATACAATAGATGCAAAATGCATGGTGCACTCCAATGGCTCTACTCCAAATCACTCGGTGGGCCTCTTGCCCAACACTCTTGCGGTACCACTAGATGAACCTGAAATATAGCCCCATAACGAGTGGTAAGATATACGAATATATCACAGTAACCTAAAGGTTCTGGAGGATCACTCTGTCGAATGGCTCACTCATATGTACAATAACAACAATACAGATATAAATGGAACATGCATACAATACGGCAATACAGCATATGACATACGAAAATCTCAATCTGATCCACATCCAAGAATATATCCTCGGGATATAATTCAAGGTGCCCACTCTATCACTCCTGAGACATTCCTAGAGTGCTCCTCAACTGATAATGACTCTATGGTATCCAGCCAACTAGAACTCCCTACGGAGGCCTCTCCAATGGAAGTCCCCTACGGCAAATACGACAATAATCTACTAGCCAGAGATACAAGTATAATCACACATATACCAAACAACATCCACAATGCATGATCATGTTATAGCACATATTATTACATTCAACAACTTCCAATCATTACCCCACTGGGCATGGTGGAGCACACACGGGGATTAACCACAGTACCAAGGGTTTACCTGTTTGAAGCTTCCAAGCTAGGTAGCTTCAATCGCAAGCTACTTCACGATTTTCCTTCAACAAAGAAATGCCTACAACAAGTGGTTATTTCAACAATTACAAGTGCCACATGATAACTCAATTAGTTATCCAGTTAACCACACAACAAAGTAAGTCATCACTAACCAAAATCCTTATGGTCAAGGACCAAAGGCAATCCAAAAAGCTCCAAGTGTCAATCTTCTACGATTGTGTCCAAGGGAGACAACCTATAATGGTCACACACACATCGTCATCAATCACCTTGTCTAACAAGTCACAATTAAAACAACACAACACCCCTCCCCCCTACACACACACAACACCCAAGGGCCATCAAGGCCCCATATGCCCACATTTTGTTGTTAATTCTACTCAACTATTCTTATAGTTTCCTTAAGCACTCACAACCCCATACCAACCCACAATTACATTAAATCATCACTTAGCATAATTTTTCCTCAATTAAGCCTTTAAGGCCTTGGGTTTAACATACAAGGGGCCAAGGGATTTTCATTCCATTTTGAAGGTTCAAGGTACACAATTAGGTCCATCTTAATTGGTCCAAACACTCACCACATCAATTCATCAAACTAAAGCACAATTTTCCTACGACAAGCCCTCAATGGCCGAATCCTATACATCCAAAGGCCAAGGGATTTTTCTCTCAATCCATGTGCATTAAACTCTCCTACAACATTATTATCAATGATCCAAACCATCCACGTCTCATTTACACAATTTCTCAATAACTTGTTTTCAAGAAACTATGTTCATCCATCAAAAAAATTTCCAAGTTAAACAATTCCAAATGCCTTAAAATTTTATTGGATTTCCTTACACAAGACATCATTCTAAGCAAAATTAATCAAAGACACATGGTCATTTAATGCCTCCAACTACCCAAACCAACATATACATAACCTTAGGTCTTCAATTTTTTGATCCACAACAATACCAAGAGGAGATAAGAAAACGTACCACAAACTAACTCCCCAATAGTGATTTCCATGCACCAAATCAACATGAACACCCATCCATGGCTCCAATTTCTTCAAAAATTCATGGCCTTTATGGAGTCATTTCTCTTGATAGAGTGGTTTTCAAGAAGAATGAAGGTGTGGGTTAAGTTCAGTAGGTGGTTTGTTTACTTAAATTTTCATGTAAGATACTAAGCCATTTGATGAAGGAGATTGAAAGTAAAAACTTGTCCAATATGGTGAGGAGGCCGCAAGTTTGGAGCAAGAGAGGAGGGAGGAAGATGAATAAATAGTGCCAGCACATGTGGCCTTTTGATAGTTTAAGTGGGGTGGGTCCCCCATGCCACCTCACACAATTGAAATCATCCATTTAACATACTAATCTTCAATTAATTCATGAACTATGCATTAAATAAAAAATTTAACATTCACCAAAGTCCTTTAATTATCCTTGATCAAATGAATCTGGAGTTTCCCGGTAATTCGGTGAAATTACTGTTTTACCCCTAGTGGTGCACCTTTGACACGTTTCCTCAAAAATCCTAAAATTCATCAAATAATACCACTAATCTTATTTCTTGATTCTAAGTACCTTTTCAAACATGTATTCAATCATAGAGCATTAATGTCACTTTTCACGTTTTTCACTGCAACTGTACCTCAGTATTTCATTCGATAAAAACACTATTCATCAATTTTCTAGAAACTTGCCTAACCTCTCAATTTTTCGTTCTGAATCCATTTTCAGTATTATTTTCATCAATTGAGGCCTAATTCTATCATTTTACAATTTAGGGTTACGTATTTGTTGATTTACCGTTTTACCCCTCGTGCGTATTTTGACCCAGAACTTAGGATTCTCACTAAAAATGCCCTTTAACCCTCCATTTAACTATTAATATGCATTTTAAATATGTGAGGTGTTATAGGATGGCTATCAAAGGATTTGTAGTTGCAGAAGAAAATGATGATGTTGATGCAATATAAGAAGAAAATGAAAACACATAAGAAATTGCAGTAGGAGAAGATGCAGAAAAAAAGAGGAAAAATAGAAACCCAGCCACCAATTTGTATGACAGTGGAGGAGAAAGAATGGGTATCAGGGAAAATGAATAGTGGTATGGGCCAAACGGGAATGATGGTAGGAATTCACGTGATTGGACAAACAGGCCAAAATGCTTCAGCCCACATACAGGAATTTCAAGGTAATGGCCCAGACTTATCCCACAGTGCTAGGCATTATTTTTTGCACAATAAGGCTAGCTTTGAAACAAGGCCCAATAGCCTTCTTTTTCGGAGACACAAAGTGGGCTTTCTAAAACTAGTCCACGAAATAATGACCAAAGAGAAATCATAGGCTGGAATTCCACTTGTATTTTGAAGTTATGGTGTGAGATTCATGGAAAGAAAATGGAATTAAATCTACAATGTGGTCCCTTGGTATAGTGGGTCTCACTTCCAGCTACTGGTTAAAGTTGAGGGGTGAGATTTATGGAAAGAAAATGGAATTAAAGTTACCAATGTGGTCGAGGTGCCTCAAACAATGGGATCCAGGAGAAAGTTTTCTCACCTTACTTGTCCCTCTTTCTTCACTTGGAGGACAAGGTGAGTTTTGAAGGGGGGTATTGATGGGCCATAGGCCTAAAAGTTAGTGAATTAGTTAGTTTGTTATGAAAATTGTTCTAGAATATTCCTAAAGTATAGGATAAAAAGAGAAAGTGTGAGTAGTGAGGTATGCATGAATTGAGTATTGGCTTATGGGGAAATTGAGGATCCCTAGGAGTTGAGATTTTTGGATTTATTTTCTGCATTTTATCCTTGTATTAATATGAAATTGATGGAACCTACTTTTATTAATATGAAATTGTAGAAAATATAAACGAAGACAAGATCCTTAAAAGGATAAAGTACAAAAAATAAACTCAAAAATCTCAACTCTTAAAGATCCCCAATTTCCCCATAAGCCAATACTCAATTCATGCATACCTCACTACACACATTCTTTTTATCCTATACTTTAGGAATATTCTAGAATAGTTTTCATAACAAACTAACTAATTCACTAACTTTCAGGCCCATGGCCCATCAATACTCCCCCTCCAAAACTCACCTTGTCCTCAAAGTGAAGAAAGATGGACAAGTAAGGTGAGAAAACTTCTCCTGGATCCCATTGTTTGAAGCACCTCGACCACATTGGTAACTTCAATTCCATTTTCTTTCCATAAATCTCACCCCTCAACTTCAACTGTAACATCCCGCGTAAATTAGGAAATTCATTTTACATGCAATTAGGAACGAGCATATATTTTTCTGAATTCGAACACTAGTTAAAAAGGATAGGACTAAGTTTAATTACAATGTATGTGTAGAAACCCTAGTTACTACCAAGTGGGTGCATGAAATAATAGTTAGTAGTATATTACATGAGATAGGTGATCCTTTAGGAAGCTAATTCTTGGACCCTATGATCCTTATGGGCGACTGCCCAAGTGCCTCTTGGAGGACTTTTAATCAGCCCAAGATCCTTCCTACTCATGACCCTTTAGCTTATCTAAAACAAAATCTGCATGTTAGCTTGTTATTGGCCAAGGATCAAACCACATGTCCATCCTTATCCCTCCATCACATGCGCATTGTATAGAGAAAAAGCAAGCAGATTGCTTGCTATGGTGTCCAAATTTTAAGTCAGCCTTGCCACACCATGCAACCAATGAGAGGAAAGCCAATCTGTTTTGTGTCATTTATTCAGAATCCTAGCAGCCTTCACCTTATTCCCTTCTCTCTCTATGCGCTTAAATGTGGAACTTCAAAGCTGAATACTTATCCTCTTGAAGCAGAACCTAACTCAGCCTCTCATCCCCCTCAAAACCGTAAGCTTAAGAGGAGAGCCTCATCACCAAAGTTTACGTTCCCTTCCTCTCCTTCCTTGTTCGGCCGAGCATCAATATTCAAGGAGGTAATGTATTGCCTCTATTTCCTTGTTTCCTCATGCTCCTTTCGATTTTACAAGAGTTTTTCCCCCTTTGCATGCAGCTGAAAACTTGATTCTTGGAGAGTAGGGGTGTGAGGATTCTAGCGCAAACCTTGGTGGCTACCCACTTGACCGATTGTGAACCTTTGATTACATGCACGGAGGTCACATAGCATAAACCAAGTTTCCTTTTGTTTTTTTTGTTTTGTTGTTTTGTTCTTTTTCCTCACTGTTTCGGCCTCACATGCATGTAAGGAGGATGTAAATTTTTTTTTGTTTCCTCTTCCCTTATTTTTGTTCAGCCTTACAACTCATGGATTCGGTGCATGCAAGCCAAAACTGATTTTTAGGAGCTTGGAAAATAGCTCCTCATCATCCTTTGGACTGTTCCTTGGACTAGAAAAATTATTCAGCCTTGCATGTAGGAAAAACGATGAAGACAACATGTTTAAAGGCCTCTTTAGTGCACTCCTAAGCTTTGTAGAGAAGGTTATGTAAATAAAAATCCTAAGCACCTAGTTAATGATTAAAACCGAACCTGCATGTGTAGACAACCTTGGGATTCTGTCACTTGCTAGCAATTGGTAGAATAAAATTTAAGGCAGAAAACTAGTTAGCATTGGAAGCATGATAATTCGATTAAAGTACAAGGATTGGAAGCATGGAAATTTGCATGTAATGTATATGATGGCATAAAATAAAATTCTGACTTGTTATATATTTGTATAGGTGCGCAAACCTCTAAGAGAGTGGATTGAATTGGTGTTACATTTGGTTAAAAATTTGTAAGCATCAAGGTAAGTGTTCGGTGGATTGACCTTTTGTGACTGTTAATTTAGGCCGTGAATTTTTGATTTGATGCTCGTTTATCTCCATTAGATTCTGTTGGTAAACATGTGTAATATGATCTTGGAAATGACTTGTTGTAATTCTTTTTTGGAGACATATTATGTCAAAATTTTGGTGCCATAATCCATGAAAACTATGGCTTTCTTATTCTGATTTTTGTCATGCTCATGTGCACCATAAATCCGCATTTTGTCATGTGCGTGCGAAGCAAAACATAGCATAACATGCATCCTTATACATGCTGTTTGGAAAAACGAAAATTTTGAAAGGAAGCATATGGTTGAGCATTCATCATGTAGGCATCCCTCAGGTACCAGGGAGAAGGAACCGTGGCTCAGTTCACATAGACCTTAATTGGAATTCCCCTCTGTTAGGGCTAAATGGAATCTCCATTGAGTTTAGCTAGTATGTGCACCATAGTGCTATGAACATACAATATTTTGACGTTATATACGTATTCTATTTCATTTTAGCCTCCGTTCGGAAATTTTGACGAAGTAGCATTATAGAAATTCTGTATCTAAAGTAACATTGTTGCATTACTGGATTTTCTACCACACTACTGGAATTTTTCTCACCCCTTTTTGGGGCTCAATTTTATAAAATTGCAGGAGGACGAAGAAGTATATGATGGAGTATGTCCTTGGAAATATTCCGTTTAAGTTCTGCTGTTTGGAAACCCTGCTGTTTGTTCGCTGTTTCTGTTGGTTGTGTACTGAATATTCGACTTTGATGTAGTATTTTGGAGATTGGCAAGTTATAATTCGTGTTCTGTTTTGAATCATGTTGTAGCATGAATTTTTATGTTATGTTTTTGGAACTTATATAAACCCATGCTTTATGGTTAAATTAACGAATTTTGGTTCTTAAATCTATCAACTTTTTCGAATGTAGAGCATGATTCAGTGGGCTAAGAATGTATAGGATTATCATGATTAATTGTTAGTGATGATTGGGTCCTGCGTAGCGGAAATTTTTGGTAGCAATCTGAGTTCCTTTAGCTCCTGGTAGTTAAAGTTTTTAAAATAAGTTCTACTAGTATTAAATTTCGGATTTTTGCACTGATTTAACAAGCATTTTGCGAGTTCTGTTTCGGAAGCTACAGATCTCCAAATGCAATAAATTTTATATGCACGTAAAGGCCCAGATGTCTATTTTCAGATTATACAAACTCCATTTCTAAAGCTTGTAAGCTCGATTTTATATGATTTTTGTAAGACAGACTGTTTTCTGAAACGTTTAATATTTCAGCTCCAAACATTTACTTTGTATGAGCTGTTTGCTTTATGGAATTTCGAATCTAATACAAGTCTTTATTACTTAACTTCAAAATGTGCTTACTTTAATTGATTACGTCAACGTTGCGTCTCTAATCGGATTTAGCAGACATCTCCCTTGGATGCATACAGGGGAGGGTGTCACATCAACCAGTAGCAAGAAGTGAACACACTATACCAAGGGACCATATTAGTAGATTTAATTCCATTTTCTTTACATGAATCTCACACCATAACTTCAAAAAACAATTGGAATTCCAGCCCACGATTTTTGTTTGGCCATTATTTTGTGGGCTAGTTTTAGAAAGCCCACTTCGTGTCTCCTGAAGAAGGTTGTTATTGGGCCCTGTTTCAAAGCTGGCCTTATTGTGCAAAAAATAATGTCTTCCTCCACTATGGGATAAGTCTGGGCCATTACCTTGAAATTCTTGTATGTGGGCCAAAGCATCTTGGCCTGTTTGTCCAATCACGTGAATTCCTACCATTATTCTTGTTTAGCCCATACCGCTATTCATTTTCCCTGATACCCTTTCTTTCTCCTCCACTCTCATACAAGTTAATGGTTGTGTTTCTGTTTTTTCTCCTTTTTCTGCATCTTCTCCTACTGCAATTTCTTCTGTGTTTTCATTTTCTTCTCCTATTTCATCATCATCATCATCTTCTGCAGCTGCAAATCCTACTATAGCCATCCCAGAGTGCCCTGTCCCTATATGGCCCACTCCCTCATCTTGCTCGTCGCTTGGGTTTCTAGTTTGGGGCGAAAGATGTTGACCCGACCTAGACCCAATAGTCATCCCACCCCTTTCATGTTACTCCTTTTTTTTCTCTTTCAACTTCTTGCATTTCCATTTCTTCTTTTCTGATTTCGCCTTTAGCTTCCACTCCTAACAGCATCACATGAAATGGTTGATTGCTGCACACATGGTCCTGTGAAAATGGCACGACACAACGAAAACAGAGGTTCGTTCTTCCCAAATCTGCCACAGCTTCTGCGTCGTTCCCTTCTGATCGTTCTTCTGCGTTTTCTAATTTAGCGTCGCCATCTTCTGATTTTTGATCCGCTTCTTTTTCTTCTTCAACCGCTACTGCATTTCCCTGTTCTTTCTTTTCTTTTTCTTCATTTTCTTCTTCTTCTTACAAGGCGTCTGATGTCGCTGATTCTGCACAATCTACCACGTAAATTTCTAAATATTTCTCTATGAACCCCTTCTCAAAGTTCCTCCAGCTTGCGGTAAGACTGAACCATTTCCAACCTTGAAACCAGTTGAACGCACTCCCTCTGAGCCCTCTCACAGCTTCCATGTACTTCTAATCTTCATTGATTCATTTTATCTGGAAAAATTGTTCCAAATTGATTAACCATCCCCAAGATTCGTTATCTCCTTCGTCTCCATAAAATTTTGGAACCATTGTAAATCTGTATTTCATTTTTTTTGTAATAGATTTGGATCAAAGAGCACTCCCAGGATTGTAATACTTTGATACCAAATTGACGGAACCTACTTTTATTAATATGAAATTGCAGAAAATATAAACGGAGACAAACTCTTTACAAGGATAAAATACAAAAGAATAAATCAAAAATCTCAACTCAACATAGATCCCCAATTTCCCCATAAGTCAATACTCAATTCATACATACCTCACTACACACTCTCTTTTTGTCCTATACTTTAAGAATATTCTAGAATAGTTTTTATAACAAACTAACTAATTCATTTTCAAGTCCATGGCCCATCATATATATATATATATATATATATATATATATATATATATATATATATATATATATATATATATGAGACAGGATCCGTTTACAAACTTTTTTGAATTTTTTTACAATTTACACTGTATTCTCCCGGGAGAACATAGTGTAGTTTGTAAAAATTTGTATTCTCCCGGAAGAATATAGTGTAATTTGTAAGAGTTTGTAAATATAACCTGCCCCTATATATATATATATTGTAAAATATCTTCCGAAAAAATCTTATTAAAAAAAGACATTATTATTTGTTATCCCTTAATAGTTAGAAATTATGAACCTGTAATTATTTGTTACCCCTTATTAATTATGAAATTGATAGTGTCAGATTCAACTGTGAGGGAACTATTTTGAAGTAGAATTGAGTTTTTGAAGAATGAATGCTCGGAATATATAAACTAAAACACAGTTTACAATAGTATTTGGGACAATCACTATTGGCAGCCAAATTACATGGAACGGTGAAAAGGAAGAACAAGATGGGGAAGGAAGGTGGGGCTGAAGCTCTTAAATATGCCAATTTTCAAGTTTTCAATTTGTCGAAGATAGTGTCAGAAGAAGACTCCAAGCTATTCATTTGTTCTTTTCCATACGCAGCAATTAGTAAAGCCTCTGCCCTTCCTACAAGACAAATTCTTTAAAAATCAAAGCACATGCAAAAGCAGTTTTACAATTATTAAAATCAATGTATGATTTCGAAAATTTGAGTATGTTCCATTAGCATTTCCGTTCTAAACATTTGGAGATAACTTTTGATCATTCACCAGCATATTAGTTAAATAGTGGACCAAAAACGGGAAATAAGTACCGTGATCTTTTTTCCTACTTAACAGGGAACTCAGTGATGGAAATAATGTGGATGCAACTCTCCTGCTATCATCCTGTAGTATAACAAATCCAATAGCTCTTATTAGCAAAGCAGTGCTAGCGATATTCAAGAAAAATCATTGGAGAACAAACATTGCCAAATATACAATGATGAAGAAATATCAACATTACAAATTGTTGCTTAGATTTCCTTCAAGGAAGCTGAGCCCTGAGATAGTACACAACGAGTTTGTTTCCAAAAAAAAAAAAAGTTACCTTATTAGAAAAAGTGAAAAACCATGGAAATAGTTGTCATACTATGCAAATATATTTATGAATTTGCAGTGCTGTTGTTCATTAAAACTTTCTTTACAAGTGTAGCTTACTACATGTTTGTTTTATCAATTATTCTATACATGGTTGTTTCACACAATGTATAGAATTTTGGGCGCAACAAGTGAGCTCCAAAAGGTCATCACATGTGCATATTTGGGGTTCAAGACTGATTGATTATGAATAATTTGAAGAGATTTTAGCAGTTCTGGGAATAGAAAGACATAAGATTTGTTCTCTGTCACAACCGCAAAACCACAATTATGAACTTAGAGGTAAGACAAAGGTATATAAATAAATAGTCATTGTCATAAAAATTTCAATAGTCAGCTGTTTGTTCACTTTCTATTAAATACTAAGAAATGTGTACCTTGTGCAAAGAAGACACGTTAAAGTGTTCTTATGATTCATAACATGCACCAGGGCCATCCATTGATTTGCCAAGTTCAACTTTCAATTACAATTCCACGGAAGCGTTTATAAATGAAACAAACTAAGCAGTATTTGTTTTCAGATCAGACGAGTAAATGTATGACATTGACAACTATAATATGAGACAAGAACTACATTGTGGCACTATATGTATAACAATTTTAGATGCATGCTAGGTAACTTTCACAGTGGACTCAGGTGAAATAATTTATGTTATGTTGTGCAGGATAAAAACCTCTTCAGATTCTAAGCTAATGTAATGTTTGTTTCGTGAAAGAAGCAGCGTACCACAAAAAGTAGAGAAACAACACAAGGGCTTCAATTTAAAGGAACGAGACAAAAGTGGAAGAAAACCAAAAGACACTACCTTATTATGCTTCTAGGGGTGAGTGTACATTAATAGTTGTAGGCCATGGAGGGAAAAAATAGTCATCTCCGCAATCTTTTTCTATTTTTGGATTAAAAGTCATCTCTTGGATTATACTTCCTTTTTAGCATAAATAGTAACCCAATGGAAGTGTGAGTAAGTTTCTTTCCTCTCCATTTTCACACTCCCTTTCGCCAACAACACCTAAGCTCAATTTCCAAGCCATTTGTCTCAACATAATCATCTCAGAATATGAAAAAAGTTAGGGACTTATTTAAATATTATTAGCTTAAACTAAGAGTAGACTCCTAAAATCAGGAAACAAATCATGAAACATTCATCTAAGAGATCATAAAAGATACTCTAAACTATTTTAAGATATAATCATAATATTATCAGATATCTTATTCTAATACCAACCTTTGCAGTCTTGCTGCCAGTGAGTTCAAATTTTGCTTTCCAAGTAGCAGATGGCACTGGAACAACACAAAATCCTGAGGCAACTAAGATCCCAATCCACAGCCCATACCCAAATCCTCCGCTCCACCAGCCCTTGAATGCAAAAGATGAGAGAAGAAAATATTAAGCTGCGCTAAATAAGATAAAGCCAAAAATAAAACAAACTTTTCTTAATGTTAATACAAGTAAACTAAAAATATGATATAAAGCCAAAAATAGATCATATAACAAAGTAACCTATATTGCATTTCTTCAAAGATAAACCACATAATCTTAAAGTTTAAACATTAAACATTCATCATTGCCAATTTCCGGATCCCAATTCCATTCATAATTAGCATATAAAGTTGGCTTAAACATGATTAGCACCAATCATTGGCAAACTTCAGATATCCTCTGACAAATATGTTAACTTGGAAAAGGCTGTTCTGCTTTTCTTGTTAAAACTGGGTTTCTTTCAGAAAAGCAATAGACTATTTGTTAGGAAAGAAGGGTATTTGCTTGAAAAAATAAAGGGAAGACAAAGTAGTTAATTTACATAGTTGGAACAGATAAAGTAAGAGGGGGTTAGTTAGAAAAATAAATAGGGGGAAGTAAATCTAGGGGACCATTCAGGGAGTAGTATTTGAGACAATTAAGAAAATGCTCAGTTGCAAAAGGGGAAACCCTTGAAGGAGAGATCTTTATCCTTGTTCTGTTCATTTTTAGTCGAGCATAAAATCTTTTTTTTCTTTTCTCTCTTTCTCTATTTCCATCATGGGTTCCTAACACTATTTATCTTAGTAAGTAGATAATACTAGCATCTAATACTTGGTAACAACCAATACTTCAGCATTCCCAATATAAATCAACCTTATACACCGCCCTAATGTCCATACTAAACACAATAATCACATTTTAATTTTATTACAGAAGATTTGAGCAATACAATGATTTTTATTGCTGTTCAACAAAAATGTTTAAGCCGAGCTGAAAGGAAAAGCAATTTATACTTGCAGATTCTTAGGCAGAGTTTTGTTTCCAACACGAAGAAGTTAATACAGAATCGTGGAAATTATGTAAAGGCTAGATGATCCACTAGTTAGCATGAATGGGTAACATAGACTTCAGAAATCTCCAAAGTATCTTCTAGTTTGAGCAAGCATACCAACCTGCTTCCCGTCTTGTGGATAAGGTAGTGACTGCTCTATATATACAGTGGTTCCTAATGAAATCAAGAGTCAATTTGCAAATAGCCAACCATAAACAGTGTCAACAGTCAAAAGAATTATAAAAAAGAAAAATAATGATTCAAAAATTACTCAAGCTTACTGAAGAATTATTAATAGGAGTTTATAAATTACAGTACCAAAGATAGAAAGGAACAAGTGAGCATTATCTATCAAAGAAATGCTAACTAACAAACCAGCAGATTGAGAAATGGGATAGGACAAGCAATGGAAGTACGAAATAACATCAATTGACACTTCATCAATTAGTTTTTCCACAAATGCACATGAACAAGGTTATTGATCTTTCTGTTTAACAAACCAATAACGTAAATGGCAATACCAAATTTAACTTCTAAAATGTAAATAATAAACTTGTGACTTCTTATATTAGATCTTATCAAAACTTATGACTGTCAAGTGGAGGGTAGTAAATACAGCAGTAGCTTTGGCTTAGAGTACTAAGATTTTATAATGATTCCAAATATTATCAATTTCCCTAATTGTGTTTATTTACTTAACTACTTCCTGTCCATCCACAGTTTCCCTTAACTCCACATGTGGAATATCAGAAATTTATCAATAAAATATTAAACACACACACATGCAAGTAGAGTAAGAATCTTACAAGAAATGAAGTCAGTAGGCTTATCTCAACATATCACAGTCAGAGTATCATAATATCATAGGTACAGTCTCAATGTATCATAATAAGATTCTTAAAACATCAAAACATCACAGTCTCAACATATCATAATAATCATTAATAAAAAAATAGAAAAGAAAAATCAAGAACTTTAGCACGAAGCCTAACACCTGCATCAAAATGACAAAACAGATGATCAAATCCTACATTGATTCAGATAGGAACTGGATCAAATGCACACCGAAACTGGGAAGAAAGTATGGTATATTGACTGTATTACTGATATCAGTACGATATAAGTATAGTGTAATTACAGAAAATAAGAAAGAAATGTGATAGGATACCACCCTAAACCACCTCTAAAAGTATATTCTAGAAGAAGCTGAGTCAGCAAGGCACTTAGAAGCAAATATGAGTGGAAGGCAATTCTGTTAGTGTCACACATGAGAAGCAATACTGGAACGAAGGGAAAGAATTAGTAATTTAGTATAAATAGGAAATAGTAGAAGGAGGGAGGTATCTTTGGACTTGGGACTTTTGGGCACCTCTTAGGTGATTTGGGAGAGACTAGAGCCTCTCCAATTGCTCTAGAACTATCATTGTTATTTTCTCTTTTCTTGTTAAATTGTCTCTCAGTTGTTATCATTTCCATATTGTAATACAGATATAGATACAACAATATACAGATCTGTGTTCCTTTTCCATAATCCATTGTATGTTAGATTTATTTTCTGGTTGGTCTGTATCAATTGGTATCAAAGCTATCCGATCTAGGTAGCTTTGGACCACGCTGAAAGGAAAAAATAAAATAAAATAAAAGATGAAAGAGCAATTTCAGAAAATGAGAATTCCCAAGTTTTCCGGCGAAGAAGAAGCCTGGGGAGGGTCGATTCAGGCTGAACGGTATTTTAAGGCACATGGAATTTCTGAAACTGAAAAGCCATGGGAAGCTAGGAAGGCGTTCACTGGTCAAGCTCAAATCTGGTATCGATTATGGTATAATCCAAAAGTTAGTTGGTGGACATTTTTAAGAGATTTCTTCAAGGAATTTCAGCCTAAGGTTTGCTTGGAGGATGATGAGGCCGGAGCAGAGCATGTGAATTTAGAGTCAGAAACGGAATGGTTGAAAGAAAAAATTAAAGATATGGAAAACAGATCTGAAGATTGGAGGAAGGAAGAGAGGCAACTGGAAAATAGATTTGAAGATTGGAAGAAAAGGGAGAAGCAAGTTGAAGAAAACCATAAATAGATACTCAGACTTCTTGATAAACTCCTCCAGAAGACAAGGTCTCAATCTCACAGAGGACGGTCACGTACAAGGAGGAGGTGCAAAAATTCCGAGGATAAAGAGATGATGGAAATGCGAGAGGAGGAAGTCGTACAAGCACTTCCAAAAATAGAGGTAAAAATGCAGCGAGATTTCTTTTCGGAGGAAACAACTACAGCCAAGAACAAGCATGTGGCGAATGAAGAAGAAATCAAAATTCAGAAGGAAAAGATGAAGACCATGGAGGTGAGACAGGCCACAAAAATCGATGGGAATCTGATACGATCCTAGTCAACAAAAGGGTATTCTGTTAGAAGGTGCAACACATGCAGGGAGTGGAATTGATCCAGCCTAGTTGACGTGGCTGACTTAGATAACATAATTGGATAGATTGTTGAGGAGGGTTTGGTTGGTTAAATAGGGTAGTGTGCATTGGTGTTAAGGCATCTTGGATATTGCTTGGACCTAGAATTTGGGAGAGAGTAGAGCCTCTCCAATTGCTCTACATTATCCATTTCTTCTTTCTGCATTTTTCATTACTATTATTGAAATTCCCATAAAACTACACTGTTCTTGTTAGTGTAATGTTCCTTATTGAAATACTATAACTGTTGGTTCATATCAATATACCATTTCTCGAGGTATTATTCCAATTGTTTCTTCGATTTGTTCTTTTGTTCCCATCAAATTGGTTGGTCTGTATCAATTGGGATTAGAGCTCTCTGATCTGGGGAGCTTTGAAAAAAAAATGGAAAAGCAATTTTGCAAAATCAGAATTCCTATATTTTCTGGTGAGGAAGATGCGTGGGGATGGTCGATCCAGGTTGAGCAGTACTTCAAGGCAAAGGGAATTTCGGATAATGAAAAGCCATGGGAAGTTAGGAAGGCATTCACCGGTCAAGCTCGATTCTGGTACCGATACTGGTATAATCCAAAGGTTAGTTGGTGGACATTTTTAAAAGCTTTCTTCAAGGAATTTCAACCGGAAGTTTGCTTGGAAGATGACGAAGCTGAAACAGAGCATGAAGTTTTCAACTCTGAATTAAAGTCAGAGGCAAAGATGACACCATTGAAAGAGAAGGAAGGAGAGAAGAAAATCCACAAAATATTAAGGGAGAAGGTTCACCAACACCATCGCTAGAACAGCCGCTCGCAGCGGTGGAGCCATCGACAACAGAGTGTGAGAAAAATTCAGACCAGTTTCAACTAGTAAAGGGAGCTGCGCAAGTGATGGCGCTGCCACTTCCAAAGGCGATAGTGATTGACCCACCCTCGTTGCTGGAACCACTGGATTTGGACCTCGGAAGCGGTGGATGGCAACTAAGTGCAGGAACAATGATGGTTGGGGAGGAAGGTGAAACGCAAGAACAGGACGCATCGGAAAAGAGAAACACAGTTAGGTCAATGAAAGGCTTAGGAGATATGGGCCATATTGCAAGCATAATGGAGAGGGCCCAAAATATTCTCAAAATATTTCTGGACCAACACAGGTACATAAGTCTTTTTTATGTTAACAACGATATTGGGCCGGGCTTACTCAAACCCCAAAACATAAGTTTAGACCCATCAAACCTGAGAGTTGCTAGCAATACCCTAGAAGTTGATGGGACTCTCATCAAGACTACAAGTGCTAATGTTGACGCTTCAGAGATTGACGTCGCATTTGCTACAAAGGATACTATTTTTGTTTTCAATTGTAAGGTGGGTCTGGGCAGGATAAACACTGAAGTAGTTGCATCTTAACTTGGGAAGCTTCGATTTGATCATTATAGGTCCATTAAATTACAAGGAGATGTGACCCATGAAGAAATGGAGGCTGGTTCTTCAAGTGGAGAAAAAACTATGGTTAAATTTGTGGAATTTTGTAGGGAATATGCTCTTGACATCTTGGAACAATGTCAAAACAGATTTTGCATAATTCATGGTGAAAAACAGAATATTTTGAATGCTGGATTTTCTGGAAATTTTGGAAGGGGTGAAGAACAAGAATGGGCATTGTTAGATTATGTTAAACAGGGGCTGGATTTGTTTGAAGCAAGGCAATTTTCCATTGTCATTAATGCTTTTCATCAACTTGATAAGGGTGTTGATTCTACTCATGAAAATCTGATATTGGAAGCTCGTGTTACTTGCTTTGTGAAAACAAAGGCAGAGACACTTATTTACAAATTTGCAAATCAGCTTTCAAGTGCAGAAGCAAAGTGGGACCCTGGTGGGCACTCTTATGTTTTAGAAATCCATTGGCCTATATTTTTCACACAGTGGGATCCCGGTGATGAAGGTTACATAGCCTCATGCATTAGCTGGCCATTACATTTCAAGCAATGGGATCCCGGAAAATGATCATCACCTTGAGGACAAGGTGATTGTTAGGGGGAGAGTATTGATACGATCCTAGTCAGCAAAAGGGTATTCTGTTAGAAGGTGCAACACATGCAGGGAGTGGAATTGATCCAGCCTAGTGTACATTGGTGTTAAGGCATCTTAGATATTGCTTGGACCTAGAATTTGGGAGAGAGTAGAGCCTCTCCAATTTCTCTACATTATCCATTTCTTCTTTCTGCATTTTTCATTACTATTATTGAAATTCCCATAAAACTACACTGTTCTTGTTATTGTAATGTTCCTTATTGAAATACTGTAACTGTTGGTTCATATCAACATACCATTTCTCGAGGTATTATTCCAATTGTTTCTTCGATTTGTTCTTTTGTTCCCATCAAATTGGTTGGTCTGTATCAGAATCTCTTGGAGGTGAGGCAGGCCACAAAAATGGAGTCTGGATTCTCGAAGATCCAAGAGACGCAGTGTGAGGGTGATGAAGAGACGATGGATGAATACTATCCATTGGGTCTTGCTCTGAATAAGCAGAAGAAAAGGGAGATCGCAATTAGAGAGGAAGGAGAAGAGCACACGATGGAGACGGAGCTCTGGATTTCAAGGAGACCGACGGAGCCTCCACCACTAGCAACGTTGAACTCGGATGCTTGGATAGTAATTGGTGAGATCCCTATGATTGAGACGCAGGCAGAAAGGGTTGTGGCAGCAGCTACCATGAAAGACGGTAACAAGAAGAAAGGAGCCAGGTCAGTGACCCAATTACGTATGGGTCAAATTTTTAACCTAGTGGGTCAAGCCCAAGATACTAAAGCAGAAAAATGGGAGTTAAAGATAAAAGAAGAGAAGAAATTGCAAATGCTGGGTTCTTTATCCGATTTAATGATTTTGGATCAAATTGCTATTCTATGGTTTCAGGCCCAACCCAATGATATGGATTGTTTTACTTTTATTGAGGGTGACTGGGCCTTTAAGCCCACAAATCTAATTCAACTTATGGAACCGGAAACCGTTCCTGCAAATCATTTGTGTTTTCCCTTCGTCATCTCTCTCTTGGACTGCTATAAGGCTGTCCTTGGCCAGAATCCATTTGAGCTTTACGTCTATGAGGTTGGTTTGGGTTCAGGTAACTGCGTGGCGCCTTGGGATTTTCGCAGCCTGCTTGACTGCAAGAAACCAGCTTTGACGGTATTGTTGAGATATATAGTCCCACATCGGTTGTATGTGCAACTAATGTGGAGTTTATAAGACCTTGAGCACTCTCACCCCTTGAGCTAGCTTTTGGGGTGGTGTATCCCAAGGTTCTTTATATGGTATCAGAGCCTCGCCGCGCCCCCACTTTCTCTTGTGGAATTTCTTAGCACAGGTAGGCTGGGTCTGTTGCATCATCCACTCTTCAAGCCCAATGGGCTCTCGTGTGAGGGGGCGTGTTTAATTTCTCTCCGGTGGAATTTCTTTGTTCGCACAGGTAGGTGGGCCTGTGCATTATCCACCCTTCAAGCCCAGTGGGATCTTGTGTGAGGGGGCTCTTGTGTGAGGGGGTGTGTTGAGATATATAGTCCCACATTGGTTGTATGTGCAACTAATGTGGAGTTTATAAGGCCTTGGGCACTCCCACCCTTTGAGCTAGTTTTTGGGGTGGTGTATCCCAAGGTTCTTTATAGGAATATTATGGTTCTAACTTGAGTTCATGTTGTACGCAAATTCTGCCTAGACAAATGAGGGCACAAGCAAAACAAGAATGGGTGTCAAACATGTCCATTGCTTTATTTTGCCTTTCGATATCTGCAGATTATATAGCTCTGGAGGTGTTTGATAAATTGCCTGAAAGAAATGGGATTACAAAAGAAACTGTGCAGTTTGGTAAGGAAAACAGAGCACAAGGGATTTTTGATTTAATGGAGGAGCTGAAATTAGCAATAAAAACACCTGGGCAGCAATGGTGCGAGTTGAAAATTTCTCAAATGATTGCTGTATTACGAGGTAAGATGATGACAACAATTCATACACAACAGCTGCAATCTCAAGGGATGATCAAATTGACGCCAACCAAGGAGAAAATGCTCCAAAAGGAAATATTAAATGCTGGTTCACATCGAGTATTACTCGCACAAGGTGCATTTGAGGTCCGTGGAGAATTTATTGATTTTGTTGACATGGATCATTGGGACTGTAGCTGTAAGGGATGGCAACTTACCGGATGTCCTCGCTATCCTGCTAGTGTTGTCTTTAACAGTGTTGACGGTAACCCATGTAAAGATGGTTCTAAATTCTTCTTAGTTGAGAATTACATATTATTATATGCTGACCTGTTTTCTTCAACATCAAATGTTAAAAGACCAGTCCAAGGTGAATCAGTTTTGGCAACTATGGTAATTCCTCCACCAGCTAAGCGGCATCCTGGATGGCCAATAATAAAGCAGGTTGAATCAATAGACTTGATTAAACGTCAACTTCAGGGTTGTAAATGCAAGGGACTTGGCCACAAACAAGGGCAATGGGATCCCGGTATCTCCTTACACATCAGTTGGTCCCTATACTTTAAGCAGTGGGACCCAGGGAGGTCTTCGTTGACTGAACTGCACCTTGAGGAGAAGGTGCTTAAAAGGGGGGGAGTATTGATAGGATACCACCCTAAACCACCTCTAAAAGTATATTCTAGAAGAAGCTGAGTCAGCAAGGCACTTAGGAGAAAATATGAGTGGAAGGCAATTCTGTTAGTGTCACACGTGAGAAGCAATACTGGAATGAAGGGAAAGAATTAGTATAAATAGGAAATAGTAGAAGGAGGGAGGTATCTTTGGACTTGGGACTTTTGGGCACCTCTTAGGTGATTTGGGAGAGACTAGAGCCTCTCTAATTGCTCTAGAACTATCATTGTTATTTTCTTTTTTCTTGTTAAATTGTCTCTGAGTTGTTATCATTTCCATATAGTAATACAGATATAGATACAACAATATTCAGATCTGTGTTCCTTTTCCATTATCCATTGTATGTTAGATTTATTTTCTGGTTGGTCTGTATCAAAATGATATCAGGGCTTCGAATGGCCCTGTCTCTCACAATTCCTTTCCAGAAAAATCCATGTCTGCCTTCTACACTCCCTCCTATCTCTTTTTATGTTTCATGCTCTTTACCCTGCGATTAACAGCTTTTCCTCCAAAAGGAAGTCACACTTCCATACCCAGCCTAGGATTCTAAGCCTCAATGCCCCTTCCTAGAATACACCCTTATAATGGGTATTATCCTAACAAATTCATTTCCACCATTAGCATTAATAGAGAAATACAATACTTAATTGAATAACAAAAAAGAAGTCTAGGAGAAGGTCTATGCATTTATGCAGAGATAAAGATAAAGAAAACATAGTATACCAACTGGAGCATCAAAACTACGAACCATCTGAACAACAGACTTGGCATCTAAGCGTCTTCGTGTTCTTTTTCCAACAAGTATTTGTACATGAGGAGAGTCGAGTACCTGCGTATGTTGGACTAAAATGATATAATAGCATCCTTTTCAAATATGGAGATAAAATTCTAAATAGAATCTACAGTATCTGTTTAAAACATGAAATTCAAGGGACCTAGAGGATCTAGTGCCAAACCAATTTTCAAAAGTAGAAAGGAATATCCTTTACTGTTGAAAACAACCCCCATCCAGATTCCAGCCTCTTTTTCATATGAAGAAATCTAAGATTCACAATGCACACAGCATCAGTCATCAGTCAATATGGAATGGGTAGACTACAATATCCTTGCTGTTTCTTTTTTTATTAAAATAATAGCAAAGATCACCCATTTTGGCTCCTTCTGTGGTTGTGAAAATATGATTTACATTCACAATAATAAAGATATAAGTCGTTATGCATTATTGCACTTACAAGTTACAACCATAACACACAGTAACCTCTCGTAATTTTAATAGCCAACAGCAGTTCTTATACTATCAGTATTCTCCCTTGTCCATATGACTAACTGCAATAGCGATCACTTCCATTCCTTTTTTCTAACTAGATTATCAGTCTATGTGCACCCTCAAAACTGTGCAAGACCCAAATACTTAAGCACAAAGCCCTAATCTCATCTATGCGCATATACCTACCTCAAGCTTCTAGGATCCTACACAAATACAGCAAACATTTTAGCTAAAATGTGTCTATATCAATCTAGTGGACTATCTAGGATGGAATGCATTTATTTCCTTTAGATAAATATCTCTTTCCTCAATGGAACTGACAATTAAACAAGCATTGGCATAATAAAACAAATGTCACAAACACCACAAATACGAAGGCACAATCATCCACAATTAGACTTAATCGATCTAAACGCAATTCTCTACTAGTCAAAATACAACAATAGCTACCCGAATAACAAGAGATACACAACCTATAGGTTTTAAATTATATCCATAAACAATTAATCCACAATATCCTATACACTGCATCATAAAGAAAATGCCCTTAGTTAACCAAATATAACCAAACAACAATCCTTCTATGCCTAAATTTATAGCATAGCCTTATAAATACAACACAGCTCCTTCATGCATGTTAAATGCCATTAATTCAAAACTGTGCAAGCAACATCACAGTACATAGTGAACCACAACCCAACATATCCTTAGGCGAAAATCCCTAAAGTGGCATACATGTAAAAAAAAAAAAAAACCACTCCCCAATTAAATCTGACTAGCAAGTATGAGGTAAGCGCAATCCTTCTGAGCAGCATTACCGTTGCAAATAATTGCAAAGAGATTGTTTCCTTTTAAGTTATATTTAAAGTGGCATACTGGTGAGGTGCTGAAAAATGTTTATAGTAGAAGGAAGAGGAGAAATGAACACAACAAGGCAACAGAAGAACAAAATGCAGATGTAGAGGCAAATGTTGGGCCAAGGCTGGTGAGTCCAATAGGAGATGATCCAATGGTGGAGACGATTGACCCTTTAACAAGAGTGGATACTGAGGAGCAATTACCCAACACTGAAGGAGCTGATAATGAAGAGCACTTATCCAAGTTCGTTATAATGAATTGAGGGGTCTGTGGTGAGGAGTTTGTTAGAGGAGAGAGAGTATGTAAGGAGAATATAAGTTAGGCAATTGTGGGAGTGAGAGGGTATGGAAAAACTTGTGTAATTCAGTGGTGAATTGTGGGGAAGGGTACTGTGGATTCCCTTGGGTATCTTTATTTTCGGTTTTCATTTCTTTTCCTTCAAGGCTGTATCAGCCATTTTTACTGTTTTGTTGTTGAAACTGTCATGGAATTTGTCTCTTAATTTTGAATCTCAATTTTTCTTTCAATTTCAAATTGTGGTTTCATCACATACATGTAGCACTACAAAATTTCATCTCCCCCAAAAGTTTCTCACTTATAATGCTACTCTATCTATCTAACCTAAATAAAAATTAAAAAAAAAAACAAAAAACAAAAAACAAAGGAAAGAATTTTATCCAACAGAGACAAAAAGAAGCATGGTACCTGAGCTGAGCAAACAGAACCATGGGTTTTCAATATCGCAACAGCACCAGAGACATCTGGGTCTACTCCAAGCACCCATTTGGACCCTTCATTCAGTTCTAGCTCTTCATTCAAAAGATGGGTCTTTTCTGGAATAGGGTAAGAGAGTGAAGCCAACCAATTCTCTTTGAGTTGAGCATCAGAAGCCTTGACCCTGCGCCTTCTGTCAGGAACTATGATTTGAGGCTGATTCAGATTCTGGGTTTGGGTTTGGGTGAGGGTAGGAGAAGCTGCACAGAAGGCTCTTATGTCAATGGAGGAGATGAAGGAAATGGTGGGTTTGAGTTTGGGAGAGAGTTTATTCATAAAATGGATTTGGGTTTGGGGTAACTCTTGTGTGAAATGCAGGGATTCCATGAATAAAAAGAAAAAAAGAAAAAAAAAAAGGGGGAACACAAGAGAGTTCAAGCGGGAGAGGAGATGAGATGAATAAAAATATTAAAATAATAATGTTCCACCAAAAAGTGTTTATGCCTACTTCTTAAAAACTCGGGCCGTTTGGATAACTTTATGGAAAAAGAACTTTTTATGAGTTATTTTTTTAAAAGAATTTTTTTAAAAGTTAAAGTTATTTTGTGTTTGGATATAATATTGGAAAAGTATTTTTAAGTAAAAGTATCATTTGGATGTTAAAACAAAAAAGCACTTTTTAAATATAAAATAACTACTATGCCCTAAAGTAAACAAACGACGTCATGGGTGTTGCAATATTGTTATGAGTTTCTTTGAGAATAGGGATGGCAAACAACAACGATCCCGCGAAGCAGCTTGTACCACACCTTCAACGCACTGATGAATTGCAAAAGCACGAACATCTCGTTGCTCATTACTGTAATTATCTCTGATTTCTATATATATTAGATTGATACCTATTTTGATTGTTTCTGTCATCATCATTATTTTTTTATTAACAATTTTTTTTTGTGGGGGGGGGGGGGGAATTAGGTCGATTACACACGATGGAATAGGGGTTGAAGATTCCGCAGAGTGAGCACACCAAAAAAATAACTAAAAGAAGACCCACAAATTAATTATGCTCTCCTTGTTTCTCTTATGAAGCTGTTTGAAAAGGTTCTAAAACTATGCTCATTCTTCCTGCCATTAATTTTATTTTTTCTTAATCTCAAATTACCTAAAACAGTACAAGACCAAAAAAAAATCATGTTTGATTCTTTAATTGAAAGATGTCCAACGAGAAGCCCACAATGAGAAGTGTCTGAACTTGAAGATGGAAACGAATATGGAAAAGGAGAAACAGTGGAAGGTGTCCAAAAATGAGGGGTAGAATGCGTCCAACATAAATGGTCCGACAACTTTTGCTTCTCCTTTTCCTTAAAGTTAAAATTTGTAGCTTTTAAAAAAAGTTAAATTTTGACTTTTTCAGTAACTTTTACTTTTATTAAAAGTCATTAACCAAACAAGATAAAAATGTCAGAAGCCCTTTTTTTTTAAAAAAAGTAACTTTTGTTTTGGAAAAAGCTGATCCAAACATCACCTTAAACTTGTACTCAGTTTGTATTAAAAAAAAGGGGAAAATTACTCTCCAGTCGTGGGAGAGTAGTTTACTTTCCTACAGAGACATAAATTTTTAGTTTTTTTATTTCATAACTATGTGGGTCTCATCATAAGATTGTGAGAGAGTAGGAGATATTCTCTCTTCTGTTGATGTAGATTAGTAAAGTCCAAAAAAAAAAAAACCTTGTACTGAGTGACCCGTTAGTGCAGCATTTATTTTAGATATATTGGTGGCAACTGAATACTTAACCTAGTATAACTTATTCAAATTGGATTTAAATTTTGTTATGTAAAAAAATAATCATGATCATGTTATTTGATCATAATTATTTATGATTCTTAAATAAATAATTATGATCAAATAACATAACCAGTTTTCACGTGAGAGAATCTAAATTCATTCAAATCTTCCACCATTGTATCAATGTCGATGGCTTAGTGCAACATTCGTTTAGATTGCCTTGATATTAAACATAGGGAGATGATTTCCTCCTGTACTTGGAGACAAATCATCTCTTGTTGTCTCACAATCGTTTTTTTGTTTTAAGTTTTCTTTTTTCTTTTTTCCAAAAAAATGGTGAGATTCACTATAAGCATGTTTCTATGACATAAGAGTACCAATTGCCTGTAACATAAGAAAAGATTTCGCCTTAAACCTAAACATTCCACCTCGTAATTTTTTGAAAGAAATATGCCAGAGGGGATGGTTATGTTGTTCCATGATATGCCAAAAAAATGAAATTGAGCTATATAGAATGTCACAAGGGCGAAGCTAGAAATATTTTGTTAGGAGGTTTAAATACTAATTTTTTTCATGAACACTGACCATTGTGTCACATTTAAAAAAAAAATTGCCGAAATACAATGTCGGTTAGAAAAAGTAACTTCTTGGACACTAACAACGATTCTATAGTTAGTGAAACAGCTAACGTACGATTGAATGTACAATCAGTGAAAGAGGTAACATATAATATTTAAGCAGAGCACATGAATGGATCGAATCAACATTCGAAGGAGAGGGATCAAAGACTGCAGATATAAAATTATATAGTTGAGGATGACTTATAAGAATTAATATGTACTACTTATAATAACAAGATGCATCAACTTTTTTGGTAGCCTGAAAGAACTTTATAGTTAAGTGTACTTGACTTGAAACAATTTTAGAATGGATACCTCTTTAGAAGTTTATCAGGAAATGTGTGAGTAGTGGTGGAGTCGGGCTTCAATTTGAGCTCGGGCCAAAAAAATTATTTGTATTTATTTTTTAATTTTAATTAGTTCATATTATAATGTATTTAAATAATGTTAAATACAAAGCACTTGAACAGGCAGCACTAAGAAAAATTATAATTTTATTAAATATTATTTAATTTAATTTTATACAAGTGAGAATTGAACACATAACCTAATACAACTTACCTAAATCTCTTACCAAATATATTTTAAATTTTAGATAAAGCCAAATACAAATTTTAGCCCGGACCGAGGTCACTCCCAGCTACTATGTGGCTCCGCCACTATGTGTGAGAAAAGATAAAGCACGCAAAAAAAAATTTGTATTAATTTACGAGAACAATCATTAATCCTGAAACTCACGAGCCACTACAGAAAATTTGTCAAAATGCCACATTTTCAAACTCGCTACAATTGCCGATGAGTTTGGTTATGCCACGACATTTAATTACAAAGGCTATTGACCAATGATATTGCCAACTCGATGACAGATCAGCAATAACAGATTGTTTGTTATTTTCTGTTATAACTGAGTTCTATTATTCAGTTTCTTTCTCCTTTGTTGTAATATAAATAACAACTATTAACCATTCATTCAATAAGATTGAATTCATTTTTCTTTAGATACGAAAGTTCTCTTTTCTCTCTGATCCATTACTTTATGGCATCAGAGCTTCATTACGGAGCTCTAGTATTTTTGTTGTTCTTGTTCACAATCTCTTGAAAAACTTCAGATCCATGGCAGCTCTAGTAGCTCCACCAATTACAGTTCCAGTTACAAATTATTTGCCTGAATTTCTTACAAATCCAAGACATTCTCTATATCTTCATGCTAGTGAAAATCCTTCAAACATTTTGGTTTCTCAATGGTAGCAATTATCATTCGTGATTAAGGGCTATGAAAATGGCTCTCATGTCGAAGAACAAACTGAAGATAGTTGATGGTTTACTAACCATTCCTAACGCTACAGATCCATCATACGATGCTTGGGAAAGGTGTAACAACATGGTGCTAGGATGGATTCATCGATCTATAAGTGATTCCATAGCTAAATCCATTCTTTGGATTGATAAAGCAGTGGATGCATGGAAGGACTTGAAGGATCATTTTTCTCAGGTTGACATATTTCGAATCTCCGATCTGCAAGAAGAGATCTACAACCTCTACCAAGGTGAGAGAAATGTGGCTGATTATTTTACTGAATTAAAGATACTGTGGGATGAATTGGAGATCTTAAAACCTTTCCCTCAATGCACTTGTAATGCTCTCAATCAGATGCGATGTTACAGAGATAGAGATCATGTAATTAGATTTTTAAAAGGTTTGAATGAACAATTCAATGGAGTTAGGTCACAAATCATGTTGATAGATCCTCTTCCAGAGATTAATAAGGTGTTTTCATTGATTCTGAAACAAGAAAGGCAGATTAATAGTGGTGCTATAGTCATCAATGATGCTTCCAATGAACCAAAGGCATTTGCATACTCTTCAGATAACAGAAATTCGTTTTCTAGTAGAGGAAGATGGAGGCAAAATTCTGGCATAGGAGGTGGAAATAAATTTTGCACTAATTGCAAGAAAACAAATCACACGATTGACACTTGTTACTTCAAATATGGTTTCCCTCCAGGACACAAACCACGTAGTCAATCTTCTGTGAATTTGATTGATGCAGAACCAAATAGGAAAGGTTTTGAGCAGAATTTTCCCTTTTCTATTGAAGAACAGCAAAGCTTGCGAGCTCTCTTGCAAACAACCAAAGAAAGTCATGCTCCTCACACTGCAAACCTTGTTCAAGCCTTCAACAGTGAGGTAACACCATCCCAAGGTAAAATTTACATGCATTGGATTTTGGACACAGGTGCTACTGACCATATATGTTTTATTCCAAAGTTTTTTTCTTCCTTGCACAAAACCATGCCAGTTTCCATTTCATTACCAAATGGCCATCATACAACATCTGAATACTCGGGTACAATATGCATTTCATCCAATCTTGTACTGCATAATTGATGCTCACCGGACCGATCGCACAAGTAATACAGTGATAAGAAAAGTATCGTCTCCACAGGGATTGTGATCAAATATCGAATAATCGTTCTTTTTAAGACGGGAAGAGTTCAAATAGGTGTGACAAATATTGTTGATTTGGGTAAAAATAAGAACTAAAAGTAAAGACTTATTTTTGGCTTTTTGTTAATGGGAAATAAAACAGAAATCGATTTTGTAAAAATATGAGAAAGTATTGTAGCTAGAGTACACTCACCGAATGATTTCCACTTCTTACTTTGGATTGATTTACAATATTTATTTATATAATTACTCAGATAAATTATTATCTAAAAAAATATGTAATAGTTAACCCTCAATTCCTTACAAGGTTAACCCTTTAATCCCAATTGGAACCCCAATTCCTTGCAATGTTCCTCATGGTATTAAGCAATGAACCCAATAATTTAAGCATCTGCAATCAAATATACATCTATTCCTAGCATGCATATAAATTGTTATCCTACCCCCTTTCCAGATCAAAACCCCAATATTCCTATCTAGGGTTCTAACCCTCAGACTATCATCAACTATTAGATTGATCAATTCTAATAAAGATAATAGAAATTACGCATAAAGTAGAGATAAAGATAATTATATAAA